AGGTGCTCAAAGAGGCGTGGAGGGAATTGTGCACTACGCTTCCGTGGAACAATAAACACATCGCCAATGTGCGACGTTTCCGAAACCGACTGTGGTGTAACACCGTCAAAGACATTCCATTTTCGTGGCGTTCTGGAGCAGGCCACGCTCATGCAGCGCATTGGGGAAGATACCCTGAACGGGAAGATGTGCTCGTGATGGTGTTCGGTTTGTCTTGGAAGCGCGATGCGGTGATGTGCCAGATGGATGAATGGATTCAGAAGTTGGCGATGTTAGTGAATTGCGTGTGCGAGCAGTGGGGCCTCCATGTGCTACCTGAGCGGCAACCAACGGAGGGGGTCCTTTTCCAGGGGCCGGCGAAACGCCGACGCAGAAGTACGATGGATTTGTCGAATGTGCCTGGGTCCCATGGCCCAGCGTGGGAGGAGACGAAGCTTTCTTGGCACAGTAGTCAACGCCATTTTCTTTTCATCGTGGGGTGCCAGCCGCTGTGCAACGTGATCTGCGGGAGGTCGCCGTTCGAGAGCCCGGAATCAGAGGACACGTGCCATATCATCATGGAAAATTTCAAGACGTTATCTTTTCTTTGTTGGGGACCGCCGAGGTGCTGGGAAGACCGGGTGTGTTCACAGCCCCGTGAATACAATAAGGTAGAGGATTACCTTGCCAACGCCACCATGGATTTAGAGACGTCTTGGACACGCCAGCTCCACGATATCCCGGCCAACGGTTGCAACATGATATGGCGGCTCTCGGATTGGGAGGTGTTCCGCTGCAGTATGCACCGTCGAGGCCTGCGTTAAGAAGGAGGGTATTGCTACGACAATTGTGTTCGCCATTGGTGGGATCTACATGAATTATCCTGTTTCGTCTTTCTTTGCGGAGGCTGTGGCTTTGGAGGAATGTGCGTCATGTGACAAACGGGTGATTCAGATTGATTCACGTAACAAGCGCAGGAAAATTTACGCACACCAGCGTGACCGCATTCATCTGCCAGCGCCAGAGGCGCTGTAGGCTGTGCCGAGAGAACTAAACATACCATAATAGTCGTACGAATTGTAATCGAATTTATTAATAATACGAGTGCTATGACATATAGCTATCGTATTACCATGACATATAGCTATCGTATTACGACTATCAACAACCTGAACCACATTATCCTTGGTACTACTACTACTAATCGAAGACACGATTGCACATGATACGAATACTTACATTATTCCATTCATACTCATACCACTTGTAATACATGAATAAAGCCCTACCCACACTGCACATACGATAGCTAACACCTATGATGACGGCACTCGTGATAAGACTAATCATGCTAGCACGAAGAGAGAAGAAGGGGAGACGGAGAGAGGAACTGCGAGATGAGGAGGAACGGGGAACGTAGGGGAGGAAATGATATCCATCGTTCGGGTGGGTGGAAACGTGAAACAAAACGGGGTTGAATTTTTTTTGGGTCTCCGCCGGCCCCTTGAATAGGAAGGACAATTTTTCGGTTATGTCACACAATATACAAGGGTATGGGGATCAAACGAGCCAGATACCTTCAACGAGCGATGTGTGAGTTGGAAGAGTGAACAAAGACAGGAGAGAGGAGAAGAGATGAGCTGCGGGGATGGGGACACTGAGGCAGAGCAAGACGACGACCTCATCCTCATCATTATCCTCGACCTCTTGTTCCGCCTCACCTTCCTCCTCCTCGGCCCCCCTCGTGCTGCAAATCCTGCCCTCTGCCTGCTCTGCTTCCCTCCTTTGCCTTCCTCCACCTGCCCATCATCAACATCATCCACCTTTCCTCCCCTTCCCGATCCGCTTCCTCATCATCATGGTCAGTAGTAGCAGCACCCTCCGCATCACCACCAACACCATCATCATAAGCAGCAGCATCGCCATCGTCATCGTCATCGGCATCCTCCTCCTCGCCCTCTTCCTCCGCTTCCTACCCCCCCTCCCCCTCCCCTTCCTCCTCCTTCTCCTTTCTCCTCCCTCTTCCCCCTCCTCCTCCTCCTCCTTCACCTCCTCCTTCTCCTCTTGTCCTCCTCCTTCTCCTCCTCCTCCTCCCCTTGTCCTCCTCCTCCTCCTCCTCCTCCCTCTCCTCCTCTTGCTCCTCTTCCCTCTCCTTCCCTTCCCTTTTTTCCTCGCCCCTCGTCTTCCCCCTCCCCCCTCCGCCTCGCCTCCTCCTTCTCCTCCCCCTCCTCCATTGTTTTTCTCCTCGTCCTCTCTTGTCCTTGTCTTCCCCTCTTTTCCTCCTCGCCTCTTTCCATCCTCTTCCTCCTCCCCCTCCACTCCTCTTCCTGTCCCGCCCTGTCCGTCCTCCCTCCCTGTCCCTGTTTCCTTCGCCTCCCAGGATGCCTACTTCCTGGACGCGTTCCGGCAGGCATACGTCGCCGCGCGGGGATGCGCCGAGGGCGCTGGCCTTGCCGAGGCCGGGCAGCGCTTCGCGAAGCTCTGCTCGGGCGTCGACGAGGAGCTGCAGATGCACCGGTCCCGCCCGAGCCTCCTCGTCCTCCTCCTTCCCTTCTCCCGACTACCCGCAAGAGTGACCTTTCGCCGGAGTGACCTTTGGTGCGGGCCCACTGGGGTCCCCCGATCGCCGAGCGCGCTGCGATAGGAGCGTTTTGCGCGCTCGTGTTTGCTCCCCCTGCGGCCCCCAAAAAGGCGGGCACCAAAGGTCACTCTTACCCAGGGTCACTCCTGCGTGTAGCCGATTCTCCTCCTTTCTCCGCCGTCTCCTCCGCTTCCTTTGGAGGGGGCTGAACGGCCGAACTGCTTCGAACGTCGCGCGGAACGACGTTCCAAACATCTTCCTTCCTCCTTTTCGAAGAAGAAAAAAACCATATAATTACATAAACTTTTGGCGCTCCGCGCGGGTTTCTTGGATCCGCACCTGGGCCCCCTCGGCGGCGCCTCCGGCCCCGCCCCTGGCGCGGTCCGCGCGCCAGGCAGGGGGGGTCCAGATCGAATCCAAGAAATCCGCGCGGAGCGCCAAAAGTCTATGTTCACGTGTCGTCTTCTTCTTCTTCTGCCCTCGTCGAGACGGGTCGGAAGAGACCTCCGACACTGGGGCCTCACGGAGGCGATCGTTGCGGACCGTCGCCTGCCTCTGGAGCGGTCCACAACAAGCCTCTCTTCCTCTCTCCTTCCCGCCCCGCCTCCTCTCACCCCCCCTCCTCCTTCGCCTCTCCTCCCCCCTCCTCCTCTTCCTCTTTCCTCCTCTTCCTCTTTCCTCCTCCTCCTCCTCCTCCTCCTCCTCTTCCTCTTCCCTCTTCCTCTTCCTCCTCCTCCTCTTCCTCTTTCCTCCTCTTCCCCCCTCCTCCTTTCTCCTCCTCTGCCCCCTCCTCCGCTGAGCTCGCTACTTTTCGATGCGCTGCTAAAGCAGGTTTTCCAGCGCCTGAACACTGAACAAATCCTGGCAGAAAAACAACTACACCGGAGGAACAGAAAAGTCCAACCAGTGAATGGCTTGAAAATTAGTGGTGATGTTGATATTGAGACCGATTGTGAGATCGATCGTGGAATCGATAATGAGGACGATTGTAAGGTCGATCGTGAGACCGATGGTGAAGTCGATTCAATGAGATCGATAGTGAGATCGATGGTGAGATCGCTCGTGAGATCGATAGTGAGATCGGTTGTGAGATCGATGGTGAGGTCAATAGTGTGGTCGATGGTGAGATCTATAGAGAAGTGGGCAATGAGATCGATGGTGAGATCGATCGACAAGAAGATCGACCAAGAACCCAGGAACGTGGGACCCCCCGCCGCCCACCGAAATCGGCCCGGAACCCAGAACCGGAAACCCGCCCGCCCACCGAAATCGGCCTGGAACTTTCGCCAAGTCCTTCAATCTCCGCTATGGCCTCTTCAGTGCAAGCACTGATTGGGAAATTTAATGTTCCTCTCTCTCTCTCTTTCTCTTTCTCTCTCTCTCTCTCTACTTGTTTGTTTATATCTCTCTCTCTCTCTCGCCATCTCTATGTATATATATATATTTATATATTTAGATCACCTGAGAAAAAAACCCAAACATTGGATGCTTTGAAAATTGATACTATGGATATTGAGATCGATTGTGATATCGATAATGAGATCGATAGTGGAATCGATAGTGAGGACGATTGTAAGGTCGATCGTGAGACCGAGAGTGAAATCGATTCAATGAGATCGATAGTGAGATCGATCGCGAGATCGCTTATGCGATCTCTAGTGAGATCGCTTGTGAGATTGATAGTGAGATCGATTGTGAGATCGATGGTGAGATCGATCGAGAAGTCGGTAATGAGATCGATGGTGAGATCGATCGACAAAAAGATCGACCAGGAACCCGGGAACCCGGGAACCTCGCCGCCCTCCGAAATCGGCCCAGAACCGGGAACTGGGAACCCGGGAATCCGGGAACTGGGAACCCAGGAACCCAGCGTGCGACCAAAATCGGCGGGGCATTTTCGCCAAATCCTTCAACATCCGCGAGGACCCTTTTAGTGCAAGCACTGATTGGGGAATGAGATCCGTAATGAACTCGACAGTGAGATCGGTAGTGAGATCGATAGTTAACCATCGGCCCGGAACCAATGATCAGGAACCCGGGAACCCAGAACCGTGAACCCGGGAACCAATGAGATCCGTAATGAATTCGACAGTGAGATCGGTCAGGAACCCGGGAACCCGGGAACCCGGGAACCCGGAACCGGGAATCCGGGAACCAAGCGTGCCACCAAAATCGGCGAGGCACTTTCGCCAACTCTAGCAACATCCGCGAGGACCCCTTCAGAGCAAGCACTGATTGGGGAATATATGTGCATTACTCCCTATGTCTTCCAGTACACATATATACATATACACATATATATATATATATATCTATATTATGTGTGTATGTGTAAACACAGATGTACGTATCCACACGCTCTTTGTGTATGTCTCTCTCTCTCTCTTTTTCTCTCTTTCTCTACTCCGCCTCCCTCATACTGCATTCACCACAGTTGTTTGGTTCTCCCTTTCTCTCTCTCTTTCCCTCTTTCTTTATTCCTTTATTTTATTTGTTTTGTTCTCTCTCTCTCTCTCTTTCTCACCCTTTCTCTATACATATCCGAGGTTGGGGAGTGACATCGCAGTGAAACGGAGACCCCCTCACTGGGATATTGGTTTCGGATGCACGTTCGTGTCGCGCGTGCGGGCGAGGCGAAGCTGCGTGGGCGGGCGAGAGGAATGAACTCGCCGTTGCCAGGGCGAAGCCGAACCAAACGTTGCTGTCCCCCGTGTTGGCCAGCAGTGGCCCTGTGGTGTCCCGTTGGTGTCCCGTTGGTGTCCCGATGGTTTCCCGATGGTGTCCCGTGGTGTCCCGTGGTGTCCTGTGGCGCGCGGTTGTCCTGTGCTATGTAATATGATATGCGTTGTCATGCGAGCGACAGTGAGATCGAAAGCGCGATCGATACTGAGATCCATTTAATGAGATCTAGAGTGAGAGCGATCGTGAGATCGATAGTGATATCGATGACATCGATAGTGATATTTGTAGCGAGGTCGATTGAGTGAGATCGATCGTGAGATCGGTACCAGGTGAGGTCGATAGCGAGATGGACAGTGATATCGATTGAGTTCGATCGATCGTGCAGCCGATCGAGAGATCGATCGTAAGCTCGATAGTGGTATCGATTGAGTGAGATCGATCGTGAGGCCGATTAGGAGATTAGTTGTGTTATCGATAATGATGACATCGATGATGAGACTGATAGTGAGAGCGATCGTGAGATCGATCGTGCGATCGTTCGTGAGTTCGATCGTGAGATCGATGGTGAGATCGATGGCGGCTTGAGTAGTGGGATCGATAGTGAGATCGACAGTGGGATTGATAGTGATATCGAGGGTGAGGTCGGTAGTGAGGTCGATAGTGAGCTCGATTGACTGAGATGGATGGTGAGAGCGATAATGACGTCGATAGTTAGATCGACCGGGAACCTGCGAACCTGGGACCAAAAAATTGGAACCCAGGGAACCTCGCCGCCCACCGAACCCCGCCGCCCACAGAAACCGGCCCAGAACCAGGAACCAACCCAGGAACCCGGAACCGGGAACCCGGGAGCCCAGACGTTTACCGAAATCGGCCCAGAATTTTCGCCAAATTTTCCAATATCCGCAAGGACCCCTTGCAGTGCAAGCACTGATCGGGGAATTTGGTATACAGATGAGCTTCACGACGGAAACGTTCATTACCAACCTCCGATTTACAGACCACGTTTTGTTATATGCGCCGAACCTGCGTCAGGTGAATGCTTGTCCCGTGACCTCAAGGATCAATCTGTTCAGTGCGGCCTAGAGATGCACCCAGACATCACCCGCCGACAAGGCAGAACAGTCCAGGCTGTAGACGTCGGGGGGGGAGAAATCTGGCTGGTGATTTGGGCGCAACGCAAATCACGCAGTATTTGGGCAGGAAGCTTACGTACCATGTGTTCCACGGCGCAGAACTTGACAATGTAATCGCCTCCAGGTGGCGGAGGTTCAACCAGCAAAGACACGAACCGACACGTTCGCTTACTCCATGGAGCAGTGACGCCAAGCGTCATGTACGGGTGCAGCTCGTGGACCTCGACGAAGGGCATGGTGGACGTCTTGGTCCGCACACGGCGGAAGATGATCCGCAGAATCGTGGGCACCAGAAGTAGACGGGCATGGAAAGACCACGAGATTGGCGACCGTATGAGTTTCCGACCCAGCAGCGGCCAGCACGCGGAGATGGGAGGATTTGGGCATACAGCGCCAGACTGAGATACTGCCAGTAGCGATTCTGACAAAGACGACAACTCCAATGACATCGACGCCAATGACAGAAGCATCAACAACGGTGGTAGCATCAATGATGGCAGCACCAACGGCGACGACTCGAACGTCTACCGCATTGGCGGCAGCAGCACAGATGACGGCACCAACGGCAGCACCAATATTGGCTTTTGGAGCCGCGGGAGGACTCTAATACGAAGGGCCACGCGCACCGCCAACGCCCACGCCAAAGGTGCGAGAGTCGACGACGAGGCTTCGTTGTTCAAATTTAAAACAAGGCGGAAATGGGCCCGCTGGGTTGCGAACTTAGCTGCAGACCGACGTGCGCAGCGCGCCGCCTGCTGGAAATCACCACGCGACCAGAAACCTGCGCAACTTAGCATGGCGGTAGACGAAAACGATGGGACCACGAGCCTGTGAAGGAGCAGTTGGAATGCGCAAACCAACCTGACGACACTGGCTCAGAACGGTGGCTGGCACTTGCGTGCGATACCTTCACACTGTACGAGTCAGACGGCACATTTATCTAACACGCGATGGGATGCCACGACACGGGCAGCACGAGCTGAGGGCTCTGGCTCCCCCACGCATGCCCTCAAGGCTCTCGTTCCCGGTGGTACCGCGCGCTCGCCCCTCGCCCCTCGCTGTCCTTTTTGGAATTCTCCGCCCCTCCTCTTCCGCACCTTTCTCCCTCTCCGCCTCCCCCTC